CCCCCCCCCACTGTTTCGAGGCCAGGCATGCCCCCCTCACCCTACCTTCCTGCCACCATTTCAGGCCTGGTCCGCCACCCCCAACCTCCCCACTGCCACCTCCCCCGCTGCGTCTCCTGTCCTCACCATCATAGTGGCACTCCGCCGCACTGCCATCTCCTGTCTGAATGATGAATTCATACTCTGATTGGTTGTTTCCGTCAGCCAATCCAAGTGTGAATAAAGCATTATGGACTGACAGACAGGCTACAGCTTTTATAATATTAGAATATTTTATAGTAAACTTGTAATTTTCAGATTTCCTCAGACCATGGATTTTCAATATGTAACTTATTTCTGATATACAAGAAAACAAAAATATTACACGGAGGTGTACAGTCAGAAATAGTACAATAACAGCATACATGAAAGGTTTTAGAGACATGCAGGTCAAGTATCATGTCTAAATGTGCCCCCAGTGTATAATGTTTGGAAGCCATTTCCCCATTTGGAAACCATTTTCTCCCAGTTACCAAAAACACAAGGAGACAAGTAATTGCCAAAGCCAAAAGTTAAGACACCAACCTAGCTACTTCAACTTTCAGAAAACAAATATACTGGACAGACAAACACACCATCTGTGAATCAATCCCTGCAGAGAGATAGGAGGAATTTAAAAATGGAGAGAAGTGAAACTACCACAAAAAGAATTACCAGTAAGTAGGTTTCCATTCTGGTACTTAGCCTTTTTCCTCATCCTACTTCACACAACCTAATGTAGTGAGACCAGCAAGAACAGACTAGCACATAACAAAGAAAATATGAAGTTCTCTCCAGTATAAAAACCTTTTTGCTCAGTAAGGCTGCATTGAACAAATATGGACAGCAATTTATGGGATCCCTAGTTCCAAAAATCTCTCATCTTGAGTCTTTCATCATAGGTAGTTATCAGCCTTTGATAAAATGACCATGGGTTTTGTGTGAAAATTATACAGAATACCAAATACAAAGGAAACATGTTTTAGGTCTACCCACGTCATCCTTTTTTCTGCCTAATAGTTTTCTGTCTTCAGGCCTTTGTACACACCACGTTTTTTTGCCTTTTCATGCACTGCAACTGCATGTCTGTTTGCACAAGCGGGATTTCTGGATGCTTTAAAAGACTTTCTTGTGCATTAAAGCAAAACTCCTCAGACTCCTCATAATTTAGTTTGACTCGCCAGGAATTAAAGCATCGCATCCAGGGATTCATTGCGTGCAAACACAAAGGCACTCAAAGATGTGTAATGAGCCTCTTTGTCCATCAGATGGCTGCAACTTTTTTGTAGTTTACCCCTTCAAATTGCTTTCGCTTTTGAATTGCTTCCACTTTTTTTTCTTGTGAGGTTTGCTAGCTCCCTGCGGCACAGGCACAGGGCACGGGGTGGGGAGTCCCAGGCCAGGGGGCAGCACTGAACCATCCCACTCTCCTGTGGCGCCAGCTGGAGACTGGCCTTAATTCATTCAAAAGCCTAGTGCGTGCAAACAGTGATGTGACACTCCAATATAAACAAGTTTAAATTTGTTAACATATTAATTTAATGAGGATTAAAACCTGTGATGTGTACAGATGCCCACCATTCAATTCTATTTATGTGTATAATCCCTATCTCAAGCACTGAACAGTAACTGTTATATAACAGTAGGTAAGAAAGGGAAAGAATGGCAAAACTTCCTTGTATAAGTAAGTCATCCCAGAAATTAGAGATGCAGTGATTCAAGGGCAAGGGAAAAGGAGGTAAACTAACATGAGTTGTGTTGTGTCAAACAGTGGGTCCATGATGCAGATTAGATTATTGAAGACTGTGGCTTCCTGATCACAGATATTGCCCTGACCAACATAAGAATGAGCAAGTTTAGGCTGTTTGTCTTGCTAGGGTCTATGTTTGTGATAATTACACTAGATGAGTTTTGACTTTTTACATAAACTCCTTCTAGGTACTGACTGGAATTTTCTCTGTTTATTTCTTTGCATTCTGACCTGTTTTGGGGGTAAGCAGTTAAGATCTGAGGCTACTAATTTTAAGAAAATACTATTTGAGTTAACTAATTTTCACAGATTTCACACACATTAGGGCTGGAAAGGACCTTGGAAGATCAAGTCCAGCCCCCTGCCCCAGGGGCAGGAAGTCAGCAAGGGTCAAAGGATCCCAGCAAGATAGGTGTCCAAATGTTTCTTAAAAGAGTCCAGAATAGGTGCTGGCATCATTTCAGGAGGAAGTCTATTACAGGCCTTGGGTGGTTCGGACAGTAAAGTTTTTCCTTATGTCCAGCCTAAAATGGTCTTGGAGGAGTTTGTGACCGTTTGACCGTGTCCTCCCTTGGGATGCTCTGGTGAACAGGCGTTCCCCCAGATCCTGATGCACACCCCTTATATACTTATAGGCAGCCCTGAGCCTGCACTTTTCCAGGCTGAGGAGTCCAATGGCTCTCAGCCTCTCATCATAAGGCCTGTTCTCCTGCCCTCTGATCATGCATGTGGCTCTCCTCTGGACTCTTTTCTCTTTCTTCCAAGTTAAGTGTCCTTGGTGGTCACACTCTTTAGAGACTACAGAGATAAAGAGGTCCCTGTCTAGAGAACCTGAAGAAGAAAAATGAGGAAGCAAGCAAAGCACCAGATCTCAGGCAACATGACAAATTTCAGGGAGACCACGGTGATAACCCAACTTGAAAATAAATAGCATAGATGAAATTTTAATTTGTTACATGGCACCTATGACCACAAAGGGGGTGTCCTATGACTGTCTTGAAGTCTTTGCATGGCAGAAAAACTGTGGGCTGCCTACTGTCACTTCCATATTACACTGGATTTATGATTCAAGTGATTCATCATAATAAAGAATATATAGTCTCACATACACAGTCTGATATTTTTAAACAGCATGCTGCAATATTATGCATGCAGTCCTGAAATAAGTCTCAGTTAGGTAATATGATGGTAGTTTTGGAAGTTTCAAAACAATTCAGTCTTCTAGGTTTTCAGAAACGTGTGGAAAAGAACACTACAATCTATAACAGCTATAGTCACATGCAATTAAATGAAAAATAATTTATTCCCTTTTTGGTTTAAATATCACTGAACACGATTTTACTCTGCAGAATGAGTGTGGCATACTCTACTAGAAGAACTGTGAAGTTGGCAGTACTAAAACTTTCCTTCCTCTTCTCAGGAAAGATTACATCCATTACTAAAATACCTCTCATTTAAGGGCACTTCTTTTTTTCTCGGAAGGGAATGTAAAACATATTTTACATGAGTGAGAAAATAAAGACAGGCTTACAACGGTAAACTACAACACACTGGTTTCTGGGCTGTTGAGATTGTCTCACTAACTTTGGAAAAGAAAGTAAGCTGGAATGAGCTTGATATCTTAAGACAGGCATCAGAGGAGTTTGATAGGGCTCGCCTCTACGCCTGCTTCTAGGGAGCCTCAATGCCTCAGTCACTGAATCAGGGATAAGTACTGCAAGGACCCTTTGGGATATTCCACTGCTTATTACCAATCTTATATACAGTCATACTCAGCTTTCCAAAGCACTGTTACCATTAAGCTTTCTCCATAAAACTAGTTTAGAATAGTAGGCCAAGGTACTTATCACAAGGTCTGATGGTACAAAGTGATATCACAGAGCAACAGGACCTGAGATAATACTAGTCACCGACCATGACTGTTGTTGTCAGATAATTTCTAGATCCACTTGGAGCATCTCCTGAAGCCATTGTAGACTTTTTCTGCTCCAGGTAGGTGAGAGGGGAAAGGAGAGAGACTAAAAGTAACCTGAACTGTCACTTTGCAGAAAGGAAGACAAGCATATCATGGAAGAAAAATACATGTGCACCTCCACAAATGAGCTGAGCATAGCCAAGGAAAAAAGAAAACTAACTTAAGTAAGTATCAGCACTTTGCTGAGGGACCAGAGAGTGGAAGGGACAGCTTTCCAAGTAAGGATCAAACATGGCAGCTACTGAAGCAAAATCTGAGCCCTTACGGGCACATCTACACAAGACATTTACTGTTCAATTGACTAATTAACTGTGCAGTAAACATCTCAGTGTCTACATGTGCGCTTCTAATAAACTCCGCGGCATGGTAGTCTGCAGCAGGGTAGTACTTGTAAAATACAAGTACTACCCTGCCGCGGAGTTTTTTTTGTGCACAGCAATGCGTGTGTAGACACTGCCCTGACTGGCTGGAGCACAGGGTGCTTCAGTGTGGGGCTAGCTGGCAGGCGGCCCCCATGCTGAAGCACCCTCGTGTCTCAGCCACCTGCTCCACAGCACATGGAGCCCAGCTAGCACAGCCCAGGCTGGCAGGGGACCTGGGGGCAGCCCCCGCACTGAAGCACCCTCATGCCCCAGCCAGAGATGGAGCTTGAGCTTTTAAAACTGATCTGTCATATGCTGAGGCCACAAGATTCAGAGGATGGGGAGTTATTACAAAAAGGCAACTTTGCTGAAAACATAAGAATAAACTGAGTGAAGGTAGTAACATTAACTCGTGCTTAGCACATATCCTTATGTGTCAATGACTACAAGAAGCTGGTTCAATTTGGTGCTGAGAACTGGAAGTTTACCATAGGTTTTCTAGTTCTTCAAAAAATGTGTCATTAAAAATGTACACAGAAGTGGGGAATTACATCTTCTGTTGATTCTTTTACATGAAATTTTTAATACAATTTATGTACATGATCTTGAAATTCTGCCCCTAGCAATTTGTATTTCCTTTTCTTTGAGTGAAAGATATCTAGAGATAATTTCATACAGTTTATTTTTTGTTTAAAAATGTTCTTGCTGCTATGTGAGAAATGGCCGACACCTGCGCCCAGTGGCATTAAGTGTGATTAATGGTCTACTTAGTAGTCAATTAAACTTGCTTAGATTAATCAGTACATGTTTTGGTTCCTTTTGTAGGTGACTCTACATTTTACTTTAGAAAAGATTTCTCATTACAGTGCCCCTTCCCCCTGAAAGCAGCACTTGACTAAAAGGCCTTTTTCTGTTTAAAAAATAAGCTACAAATTATTTTAAATTACCCATATTTTTTTTAATCAGTTTGAGTAAAAAACCTTGACAAACTTGTCCCAAACTAGTAGCAATGGTACTAATGATCTGAAAGGAATGCAATAAATAAATCAAAAAATATGACTGAAACAGAACTGCAGAAGCACTGACAATGTTGCAAACCAACATCATCTAGAGGAAAGGTTTTCTAAACAAAAGCTCATGGATTTTTTTTTGTGACCCTAAAACCTCCCCCAACAAGACAGCTGCTCCCCCAGGAGGGAATGTAGCAAACTCTGACACTGTCCCCTGGTGCTAAGGATAGGTCAGTACAGCCTATTTGAATAAGACATAGGCTGGTGCCCATTAAGTGCAATCCCCCTTACTGCCAACTTTTGTGTTTTAGGTAACACACGTTAAATCTAGTACCTCCAGGCATTTATAGATGTGCTCGGGGGGAGTGGGGAGAATTAGCTAGCCACACTAATTCAAAGTGCCTGATCGTCATATGTATCAGTATCCCTGGGCTGAAAAAATGGTGGCAGGGCACTTTGAACTAAAGCTCATTCAAAGAGTTTTTGTTCAAAGCCCCCCGCCACTATTTTTCAGGGCGGGGACAGTGATAAATGTGATGCTGGAGGCTGCTGGAGCATGTTAATTTCTGCACTCCAGCAGACTCCATTAATCAAGTCTGCTCCAATGCACTGGATTTACAGCACATCAGAGCAGCCTCCCTGCACATGTATAAAGCCCTCCATTGTGTGGTACTAGAAAAATGCGCGTTAGCGTGTTTTAATGCACATCAGCTAAAGAGAACCATTTTTTGTGATACTTTATTGTGCATTAAAATAGACTAATGCGCATTAAAGCATTCACTCACTGTATCCTAAAGTTTAAGATTGCCAGGAAATATAAACATGCTAACAATAAAACTTTTCTAAAATATTATGCATATGAAATTCTAGTTATGAATTTCAAGTATGACTTTTAGTACTATTTGCAACGCAAAAGTGACAGAACGCCATAAAATGGAGTGCCTACTGGGCACACCTAGATGCTCAATTAATGTGACTGAATAGACTCTGGTGTAATTTGAGCCAGAGTAAACCAATCCTGATGTCACCATATACACACACGTTTAGGTAATTTACTTTGCTGTTGGATAGTACCTGTGTCTGATGGGACTATCTGACGGCACTGTAAATTAGTCTACACTGGCGCAATTGCTATGCACTTGTAAACCTCAACATTTTACTGCACAGTAAATTAGTCTACTGTGTGGTAAAGTGTGAGTGTAGACATGCCCACTGAGTATGTAAACAGGTGGAATAAATTACCATGTCATTGCAGTACCCATAACAGATACTACATTTTAATAGCTTTGATTTTCAGTTTTGATGGATTTTTTTGGTCCTACCCAAAATACTTAACTAGAATTACACAGGGGTACTATTTTAGACCTTTTTGTTAGTAGCATGCTAGTATGCCATGTCACCTGGGATTCTACACTCTCATAATAATGGGCAAAATTAATATGGCAGTTTCTACCAGCTGAAGATTTGTTACAAATGTAATTTAGGTGCAGTTAATTACTCATTAAAACCTTTTGCTTTTACAAATATCAGTGGCAGCAGCAAATGCTAGAAACCTCATAGAAAGCACTTAATTTCTCTCAGGATCAGGCCAAACACAAACATAAAACTAAGATATACTCACTTCAGTCTTGGGCAGTTCAGACCAAGCGCTGTGAGAGAAGCATCTGTAAGGTTTGTACAACCAGAAACACAGAGTGACTGAAGTCTGTGGCATCCTCTACAGATTTTTACAATGCCTTCATCTGAAATTTGCTGGAACAAACAAAAACAATGGAGTTTATCTTGCTATCAAGTAATTTGTCTCAGAATAAAAATAGAGCTACACATTAGCACACAGGCAGAGCAACACTATGTAATCATAAAAAGTTACCAATCCCTATCCATGAAATATCAGCATACAATCATATGCCAGATGATCCGTTTGTTTTTGAAGATAATCAACACCTGTTATTCTTATTCACACAACCTTTGCACCAATTTTAGTTATTGTTTTAAAACAGTGTAAAGGTGGGTTTTCTACAGGTCCTACAATGACTTCATGAAGTACTTTTTTTACTTCATAGTAACATATAATGTCTTGCTTCTCACATGTTCAGCTAATTGAGGCACTAGCATTTGAAATGGAGGAGACAAAGAGGGCCAAAAACTAAGAGGTAGGAGAGATCATCACCTGCCTTCCATTATATAGAAGATCACAAACTACTCTGAAGACCTCAAGGAGAACCAGGGCAAAACACAGTCTTTTGCATTAACCTTTCTTACCTATTCTGCTTTAGGCACTCCAATAGAATTAACTTGTAAAACGTTGCATGTATTATTCATTACCTGTTGGTTCATTTAAAAATTCATTTTTCTGAAATATGCATCACTGAAAACAGCTCCATATCACTTGCACACAATGCAAGCCAATTCCAAGTTATTACAAAGGATCATAATAGCTTTATGAACAAGGCAAACTATCAGAGTTTTATAAAAGATTTTTTTTCTATTTTGTTGACTTAATGGCTCTCCTAAGGTGATAACCCTTTATTTTTGTACAAATTCATTCTTTCTTGACTATCAATTTTATGGGATGCCAGTAGTGATTTCTGCTGCCTTTTGAGTTGCCTGAATTTACTGCTTTTGAAAGCCAATCATATTACCATTTATAACGTACTTATATTAACCACTAACACAGCTATTACTTTGGGTACTGTTTTACCTACCTTGAACATTTCTTATTTTTGTTTCTGAGAGAAAACGATATTATCACTTTACAGCATGAGTAACAAGCAGCTGTTTTAATTTGACCCAGTACTGATGGATGGAAACAAAATAATTTGTATTCAAAGCCATTTCATTCTGAAATTCTTTAAGAACTTAGAATGCCTAGACTCTTCTCATGAAAGAACTGCAGTCACAAAGATGGCTGCAGTCCACAAATCATATAATTCCGAATGTAACATCTTTTCAATCTAAGCTACATAGTCAATGCCTGCTCACTTTTAGCCACAGAAGTTACTGTGGCATTTTCAAGCATCACAAAGATGAACCTGTAAATACTGCAAGGGATGGATCACATCCCTATGTTCTGTGAACTCTATAGTGCTAGCCTTCACACCATGTAGCAGGCAGGCTGCTCCTGCATCTCTGTAACTTCTGGAGACATGCTTCAAAGCAGTAATAATTGGGCCAGATTTCTAGTGCAGTGCTACACAGCCAGTAGAATGTCCCCCAATAGTATATGACCCTAGACAAGTATTTTAAATGTGATTTGCAGAATTCAGAATGAAAAACTTTGCACTTTATTTGTATTAGTAACTACTTAATGACTAATATTATGGATAAAAAAAATCTTTATTAAAGCTTCTATACCCATGCCCCTTCAATTACAATGTTAATTAATTAATTAAGAGTTCACATACACTTGCATCAGACCCATGAAATCCTCCAGGAAAATCAGAAAAGGCCAAAACCTATGTTTTCTGATATTAAAGAAAAGAAAAAAAAACTACTTGAAGTGGGTGGAATTAGACCTGTATACATAAAACGAAAACAAAAACAGGACTAGATGACCTCTGAAGGTCAAGGCAGGATTGTCCCTGTTTAAACCATCTCAGGTAAATGTTTCCCTAACAACATGTTCATAAAAGCTTTCAATAATGGAGATTCTACAACCTCAGCATGGTTCCTAATTTGGCAAAAAATTGCACAAGTTCCACCCCAGACCTCCTTTTGCTAACGTTAGTGGGGATGAAAAAAAAGCATGGTTTGTTGGGCTTCTTTAAAACAGAGGTTAGAAACATGTTGGCATTCTAATGGAAAAGCGCTCACTGTCTTATCCTATACATTTGTCTCATGGAATACATAATATGAGCTTGCATATTGTTTGTAACTTCTGCAAAACCTCTAACATAGCTTCTAATGTTTGAAGTGCCCCAAAATGTTCAAACCTTTTGCATCTAGTAAGTTCAGAATTTTCCATCCAACTTTAATAAAAATGGTCCAATGCCATAGTAGTACTCATTGAGGAATAATGTCTAAAACAGATTTGAAGGTTTCAGACCAAGTTATTTTTTATTATATGTTCTGGCAATAAAGCAGCAGAAACTTTTCCAAAAGGAAAAAAATATGTTTTTCATAATTGGCTGATCCATTGAGTTAGAGAATGAATCTCAAAGCTTTTTAAAGGTTAAGGATAGATAAAAAGAGTTTTTTAAAGATATTTCAGTCAAAAAGAGTCCTGTTTCTCCCCATCCCCCTCAACAACATACCAAATAAAAGTTAGAATGGGAACTAGATCAGGTTCATAATATAACACAATAAAATAAAGTTTCATTATAGTGTGCAGAATTAAATTCATGCTGTGTATTTCCAAACATACCTAGTTCAACAATATATTTCTATATGATATTAAAAAGTATGCTTCTCTCCCACTCTCAGGGCTGTCTTGATATAAGCCACCCCAGCCACAATGCTACTCACTTTTTATTAATCATCCAACACACAAGAATATACTAGGCAAGCCACAAGCATAGTTCCTGCCTAAAGAACTTACAAATAGTAATAAACCACAGACAACAAGACTATAGGGTACAGGAGGTTAGGTGAAGGAGTGTAACAGCAGTACAATGGCATGGTTCATTTAGTCAATTGTACACATGCATGACAGCTAATTAATTTTAATCACTACTTAAAACCTAAAGCTATCAACAACTAAAAATAATGGAAAACTGAATGCTGTAACTCCACTTTCAGCTGTCGAAACAGTCAGCTGATTTTAGGACCTTGCAGCATACTCCACGATCCACTAGGCTACTTTGTCATCACTATCTGAAACAATGCTGCAATCTGTACAGATGGACAGTCCTAAATATCCAATGTGTAACAGATGCATTCAATGCCTGAAAAGCATTTTTAGAGATATTTAGTAGGAGTGTATGAAACAGGCCATATTCAATTCGGATTTGGATTCAGCCCGAATCCGGGACAGTGATTCGAGTCGTTGATTCGTATCACTGTCCCCGATCCGATTTGGCCATAGACACAGCTTTAAATGTTTTTTCTACATATCTCGAGGTACCAGGCATGGCTCATGAACGCTGAGATGCTGGGGCAGATGGAGCGTCCCACAGGAGCACGGGGGTGCTCAGTGGCGAACCTGGAAGTGGACTGGAAGTACTTCTGGCCCACTTCTGGGTCCACTGGGGAGTACGCTGGGGGGCCCCCCACACCCCTCTGGCTCAGCAATCTGCCACAGGGGGACCCCAGGTGCCCTCCTAGACCCAGGAAGCACCAGTCGCCGAGCCGGGAGCTGCAGCGGGGGGCCCTGAACACTCCCCGGCAGACCCTGAAGTGAACTGGAAGTGCTTCTGGTCCACTTCTGGGTCTGCTGCCGAGCATACTGGGGCCCCCCCCACACACATTCCTGTGGGACGCTCCATCCTCCCCAGCATCTCAGCATTCACAAGCTGCCTGGTACCTTGAGGTATGTAGAAAAAACATTTAAAACTGTGTCTATGTGCCGAATCTTTCTGAATCTCTCCGGATCTATTTGGAGGGCTCCAATTTGATTCGGAGAGATTAAAAGGGTCTCCTGATTCAATTCGGATTCAGAGATTTGGCCACCATATCAGGCCAAATCTCTGCTGAATCGAATCAGGGACTGAAGCTTCACACAGCCCTAATATTTAGATCCAGTGTGCGCATAAGTAGAAAGTACTCTTTCAAACTTCATATACTTACTGTACATGATTGCAAATTCAAGATTAGAAGCTCGTGACAGTGACTCTGAATATGTTTCAGTGCTTCATCTTCTAACTGCGCAAGTGAAGAATAAAATAGGAAAGAAGGGAGAAATAAATTAAAAGCAAAGCATTGCTATCAGCATGCATATCTTGTAATATTCAAAACCAAAATGACTGTAACACCAAAACAGCATTTTCTAAAGTCATGGAGGATTTCAAAATACCAGAACATACATGTTTTACATCAGAAGGATCATCCAAGCAGTTATATACCTGTGTGCAACCTCTAAGAAATAGTGCTTTTAGTCCATTACACCCTTTCACCAGTGCTTCAATACCATCCTTCGTAATCTGATCGCACCAGGAAAGATTCAAATGTTCCAGATTTCTGCAACCCTCACTGGGAGAATTAAAAAAAAATACATATAGTTAAATCCAACCTTAGAATAGTCATAACAGTGGGAAACCCAAATTAAATACACTGTTAGAAACTCATGATGGCAAGCTAACTGTGCCAGGACTTCACAGAAAAATCATGGGAAAAGACCACACACAAGCACCATGCATTATATCCTACAAATGCTCGATAGAGCGCATAGCTCAGACTGATACACATTATTAAGGTACAAGACATACTGAAAAAAATTATTGCATTAAATTGTGAATAGCTCCTTTAATACATAACACAAACAATGAATATCCTTACCTTAAACCTTTCAAAGAACTGTTTGTGATGGCTACACACGATGTCAGATCCAGATGTTTCAGCTTGGAACAGAATTTACTAAGGCTGTAACACGTGCTGCAAAACAGCAGACACACTAAAAATATCTTTGTCCACTTTTTTCAAATGGCATTATCATGTGAAAAAGCCTTTTACCTACCTGTCAGTAATTTTTGTACATCCATTTAGATTTAAATGTTCTATGTTCCTACAGTTCTGTGCAAAGGTCCTAAAATGGTAAGGTAAATTTAGACAATTAACACATTTTATATAGAGCAAATACCAATTCAGTCACTAGAGTGTGCTCTCATCTCCACCTTTTCCATCTAATATTCAGAAACAGCCATTTTTTTTAACATGTGGGCCACATGAATTATAAAGTAAATTTCAGACAACTCTGCCAAGGGCTGATCCTGTCTTTTACTAATTTAAGTTTCTACCTCTGTCAATTTGCAAAAAGTACATAGCTCATATTCTTCTCAAACTTTAAGGCATTGATTTACTTCTACCATACATCAGATCTACCTGCTTCATTAACACAAACCATCAATGAAAACAGAAATAAACAAATAATGATAATGTCTATTAATTACTATTACTGAACCCTTTATTGGGCCACAATTAGGAACACATCCTTCCTGAGTCAAAGGGAATTGCAAGTGTCCAATACATTATAAAACTGGGTTCCAAAGTAACTACTAATGTAAATCCCTCATTCATGATCTACATCCACAACTGCATATGCAGTTCTACCATCAGCTGGGTATAAACTGCAAAAATGACTGCTGTCATTATCCTGTTAAAAAAATCTGTATATATTGTCATTCTGCTACCCAAAAAAAAAGAGGCTGCAGAGATGAAGAGAAAGTTAGAAGCTGCACTGTACTGCAGAACAAAGTTTTATGTCCATGTTTCCTCCAACTGTATGACTTTTACAGGCACAGTTGGAGGAAACACTCAAAAGCAGTTTTGTCTGGAATTTTGCCTTGGTTAACAAATTCTACAATACACTCAGCTGGTAACAACTTCCTGGATCTCCAGTACAGACTGAAAACAATGGGGGGGAAAATAAAAGAAACAGCTAACATTTATATAGGTGATAGTTTCCACTTGACTCCTCCAAATGTCTATTCCAAAATTCATGTCCAGCCTTTACTGCAATGAATCCCACATTTGGGGAAAACAGCGCTTGTTAGATTGCTTGGAAAATTACTGCATTTGCCATCATTATGTTAACAGTGTCGTTTAACCTTGTGTTACTTCCAATTTACATCATTTACTTGTATGACTTCATGAATATTTTATATATCTTTCTAGCTAATTTATCTGTAATTTCATGTACCGTTCTGTAATGAGAATCAAAAACAGCTGAAAAAGCAATGTCAACACTGGCAACTTGTTCTAACAAAAAAAGACAAGAAAGGAAAGGCTGTAAAAGCCTATTTACTAAACAAACACCAACTTGCTAAAGAATAAGAAACCAGCCTCATGATTTGAAAAGGATCAAACATACTTAAGTGGGCCCCAACTTCATTTAGGAACATCTGATTTCTTTACCCTAAACCTCACTGTTCATATTATAATGACAAGGATATAGATACATGGCTAAAGGACTTTGAGCAATTTATTCCAGACAGATGATAGCTTGACTGGAAGAGGAACAAAGAGAAAGAAAATAAAGGGATAAATACTTCTTCGAAATGTTTTATTAAACTTAAAATTTACACTGGTATTACAAATAGGAAAAAAAGTTTAAGATTCTCCATGAATGCATGTGAAACACTGATGTTACCTGGCTTGATTTTTTTAAAATTGTTTTATCCTATAACAAACTTTTCTTTTAGTGACCATGACTTCCTCTTAAATGATGTTGCTTTGTTCCTTCATGGTCATTTTTCAATATTTAGTATTTTGACCCAACACATTTGAAAAGGAAATGTGACTATGTTAGATCCATTTGAACTTTAAAATGTTGATTATCTGGCTGGTGGTTTACTTGTTTTGTTTTTGGTTTTTTGTTTTATAAAGGAAAATGAAACCAAACTCGCAACAGTTTGGTGATTTTTAACCAATCAAGAAAAACTGCTTGAATTTCCATATGGTTCAATTATTTAAAAAGAATACAAATTTTCTGGTGAAAAAACATGACAACCTGTAAAACTGAAAATCTGCAAAATCCTAGATTCTACCGACCCAAAGGATGCCACAGGGAATGGTAAGAAAGATCAAATCAAAGTATGTGTATACATCTATATATAAATTATGTCCAAAATACTATTTAAGAAAAACATTGCAAAGTCAGGCACCCATAAAATGTTTAATTTCAGAATTATGGCAGCCTGTGCAACCTTTGCAGCCTGTGCAATCAGACACTTTGGCATGTACATTATGATGTAAGTTTTAATTACACAAATACAGACTATATTTACTATAGGACCCCCTTGTCTCATATAGTGAATGGGTAATTATTCAGTGTTCTCATTATTCTCCACATTTAAAGTATAGTCTGGGACTTACTTAATTCACACCGCATACAAACCATTAATTTCCATGTTGGCCTTTTCATAGTGCTCACCATAACATCGGACTATTCCACAATTACTAATAAATGTGTCTGCAAAACATCATTGTGAAATTAGATGGTGTTGTTATCCTTATTTTAGAGCTAGGGAACTGACACTTAGATATTAAGGTCAAATGTATTATGTGTTCACCCAATTTAGCCCAATCTGCAATACCCAAGGCCTTATTTTCCAAAGTATAAAGTGCTATAAAAATGCTAAGTATAATTACAATCTACTTTAGTGCTCAGAACGTCCGTAAAGCTAACCCCAGTTGTCTCACATTCAAATCCCAGAAAGTGAAGAATTCAATTAATGGCCTATTATGAAAATGTAACTAAATCCACAAAAAGACACAAAACTGCAATCCTTAACCCCTTTAGACCCCATCTCTCTGTGTCCCTTCTGCTTCCATCCATTTTCCATCAACATTCTCCACTCCTATATTCGCTCCCCAACAGTCCAAGTTTGTGCCATCTGTCCTTTCATAGATTGTACTTGCTCCCCCACTGTTTCATATCTCAAATTTCTTGATCTTATCTTACACCTAGCCCCACCCCCTTCCATTCCTCCCTTATGCTCCAATCCCAACCAACCCAGCCCCAACTAAACATGGCTCTTGCCTCTCTATTCTTCTATCCACAAGCCCTACATCTATCCAAAAAACCTTCTTTTTCTGTCCTTTCCCTGTTTATTCCTCTTCCTCCTCCCTCAGCTTTCCTCTCTTTGCTCCTTTTCTAACCCACCCTTTCCAGTCTCCCGTATCCACCCTTTTCATCCACCCAAGCCTACTCAACCATCTCCAACTTCATTGTCCTTCTGCTCTTGCTCCTGAAATCTCTTCTTCTTCCTTCTCCATCAGTTTTTGGTTTTTCACCTTTCTCCATTAAATTGTGCTATGTCCTTCCACTCCTGCCTGGGCACATCAGAAGGAGCACTTAGAACAAAGTTCCTCTGTCTGCCACCAAAGTGGCTCCCAGCAGCCAAGAGGTAAGTGCAAATAAAGGCCCCTCCTCCGCTCCAGCATCCCCAGGAAACAGAATGTGGAGTGTAGTCCAGCTGCTGCATAATACCTGTGATAGGATACACCACACTCAGGCGCAGAAAGATTCTCTAGAGGATTTAACTGCTAGTCTCTAACAAATCTCTACTGATTATATATGAACTGAACTTTTCTTCCAAAAGTTCATTTATAACTTGGCTTAATTTGAGCAAATTTTCATATCTATAATGCAGCGGTGACACTTTTGTCTCAGATTCAACTCCCTGCTCCCAAGCATGGAGAAGCTGGAGCTTCCTCAATAAAATAAACACAGTATTTTTTCCAGAGGCGGCTGAAATCATTTTACCTGAAGTTTTCAATAACAATTTCAATCCAAAGCAGATATTCAGCATGGGAAGTTTCAGCCTAAATGGTCAAAGTTTGGCAAAATTATACACAGCTAAATATAGGGGATTTTTGATTGGAAGTGTGGACCAACCTCACATATGAAGAGTCATCAGTACCCATTCTGCCAATGTTAGGAGGAAATTCCTGAAAAGAGATTACTGGATAGAGTCCAAAGAACTCTCTCAGCAGCAGCAGTCATGATTCAAAAGGATTAGGGAGCTTCTACATGAAACACTGACTGAGCAGTAGCCCGATACAACTGCAGTAGCATTGTATGGTAAAAACAGTGATGCGATGCTACTGAACAGTAGCATCACAAAAAAGGCATGCGCTGTTGCTACCACACAGTAACTCGGGTTGCTGCGCATTTTTTCGTACTTGTTTGTACTAGTATAAACCCTAGCTTTATACAAGTACTAAATGAATGCACAGTAATCATTGTGCAGTAGCATCTTGTGTAGACATGGTCTTAGGGTAGAATTTTATTTCCTTTTGCACATCTAAGTGGCATTTTTCTAGCCATCTATTTGGCTATTTTTGATCACTGCTTTATGCTGTGGATGTGTTAGCCTGAATGTGTTAATTATGCATGTGCACAGCTAAATGGGTGCATATGTAGCTGCGTTTCTGTGCAAGTTCTAGTTAAAATTATGCTGGGGGTAGCAGATTTTAGCTCCAGTTGCTGATCAAGGAACTTGTCTGGGAAGTGGGAGGCCCCACTTGCCCAAAGGGGTTCTGAACCTGCATCTCTCTAGCTTCCCAGCACAGTGCTGTAACCATCACAGTTCAGTCATTAATCACAATCTGGTGCTCCTTTGGTGATTGAGCCATTGCTCCTTGCATTTAATAGTCATTGGATAAAATGGATGGAAAGCAGTAAAGTCAGGAAGTTTCTGCCCCATTGGGAACAAGGGTCCAGGTTAGAAACCAGGGCCTTCTCCCTGCCCTGGTCACTATTCAAACACACTGAATATTTACATCAGAAAGTTATTTTGTAAACATGCCAATTAGCTTGTCTAGAAAAATGTTATGCTTTCAATCATTAAAAATATTTTAAAAAGCAACAGTAAAACAATAACAAGAGAATGAAATACAGACCTGTCTTACAAAGGACACTGTTCTAATTTTTTAATTCCTTTTAAGAAAGGAATTTTAAGAAAATTTAATTTTAAGGAAATAATCTCACTAAGTCATTACTAGTTATGTTTCTTGTTTCTTGCATGCTCTCTTGGTGGCTACTAGGGGTGCACTGATAGAGAATTTTTGGACCAATACCAATGGCTGATTTTTAATGAGCCATATCGGCTGATCCAATATGCAGCCAGGTAGCATGGAGAGCAGCGCCTGGCCAGTAAGTTTGTTGTGGTGAAAGGGGAGCAGAGAGGGAAGGAGCGTGGTGGGGGCCTCAATCTTTTGCTGGGCTGTGTTCCTGACCACCTGTGTGTTGCTCTGCAGCTGCGCATGTACAGGGCATTTATCAGCCATATCAGGCAAAAAAAAGCCAATTGTTGATACTGTCAATTTTCCTTATATCGGTGCCGATCTGATATGGGACCGCTGTATCAGTGCACCTCTAGTGGCTACATATGTGCAGATATTATGAGACTAACCGAATCCTGTTTTTAGAAAAAAGATATATGCAAAAATGTTTTGATGAACTTTTCAAGTTTTTACTTACTTCAAGGATGAGTCTCCAACGCCAAGGCAGCCTCTCAAGCTAAGTTGTCTGAGGAACCCACCACACCTTTTGGATATATTTTCTACCACACGACCCTTAAATTAGATATTAAGAAAGCTTTAATATATTTATTTTGACACATCTAATATTCTAAACAAATACAAAATTTGAGTGTTGAGCCCTGATCCCAGTCATTCCAGTCCAGAACAAAAATTTCTAACTCTACTGAGAAATACACTTGCTTACTAAAGATGTGGATCCAATTCCCATTGAATTAAAATAAGCACACTCCTACTAAAGTCTATGGGATATTGGACTAAACCTTTTAGCAAGATTAGAAAAAAGAAAACTACTGTTTATGGCTTAGCCTTACTGTCCCAGCAAAAAACTTAATGATAAAAGACTGCTGAAATAAAGTCATATATATTTGGGCCCCAATCTTGCAAACATGGATGTACATTTGATGCCCCATTGAGTTCTCTGCTATCTAGCAGTAGAACCAGACCTTACAGTTAGACATAAATTTAAGCCAAATTCTCCCACTCTTCCCACACTAGCCCCTGGACATACATATATTGTCTACATCACTCTGCATTTCAAAACTTGCAGGCATTAGCTCCAGGACACTATTTATTTATGTCTAACTACTGAATGGCATAATGCTTTCAACATGCAAACTAAAAATAGCATTATTCTTAAAATGCCCTTTAAAGTGAATTATGATACTATAAAACATCCCTTTTTCCTGCTCTGACTTTTCTGTAGGGAAAATGAACAACAAATTAAAACAAAAAACAGAAGTTTATATATCATTGACCATGATATCAGTTAAACATACACTAATTTTAAAAAGGCAATTGAAACCTTAATGTACTACAGAAACAAAATAATTACAACATTGATCATTTAATTTAAAAGACTGAATACTTAAGTGCATAAGAAAAGCAAAAATTAAAAAAAAACAGGTAATACTTTTAAAATTACAGATCATATAACAAAGATTTTGTTTCTTCACTGTGTTGAATGCTTTCAATTGTTCTAAAGTGAAAGAAACAAATACACAATTCCACAAATACACAAGTTTTTTGTAATTCACTACTTGCAGAAACAGCTCACATTATGTGTCTACATTTTGTTCTATTAGGATGCTTCTTCAGTTCTTGCCCCCCAGTAACAGACTGTTTACATTACTTATGAATGAATTAGAGCAGTGAAACATTAACCAAACTAAAATTGATAATGTTTCCTGAGGTGATATGAGTTTTTAAAGCTGGCTCAGCTCTGATTTATCAGCACTGCTTTTTAACCAAGTGCTTCTAAGAAAAGTACTTCTGGAAATTTCTAAAAAAAAGAAATCACCACAATAAACTAACTATAATACATCTTCAACATAAACAAATGGAAAAAAAAGCCCTAAATGCCAAATAAAGTCCATATTTATTATTAAATACATATATGGACAAACAATGCACTACATTTATATTTTCCAAACCTATTTACTGTATGTTCAAAAGTGACCTGCTAAATGGCATAAGTGTGACTATCAGGTTGTAAATCTATAATGGGCAGCATTAACCTACGGTGACAAGGATGAAGTAAAGTTATAGGCTTCTAACTAAAAATAGTTTCAGGATGAAAGTTACATTGCATCAGTCACTGTCTCCCCATTGAGAATATCTTCCAAACCAAAGGGAAACTTGACGTACCATATGTCTTTTTAAAAATAAGATTACACTTTCAATTAGTGGCCAATAATTGGCATAGATTATGGATCTATAAATTCAATAGTCACATGACTTCTAAACATGGTTAGTCATCTCTAACATTCTACGGGTCAAACTTTCAAAACAAACTTTAAAGACTCACCTGAAATTGTACCTATGAATATTCATCTGTACATGTAAAAAAAAGTTTGCCTGCATAAATCTGTCATTCACGATAGATGCCAATACAAAAACACTTAGACAAACAAACGATCAGTCTTAAAGAATTAATTTAGGCTCCTTTGAAAGAGTCTGTTGCTCACTTAAAGGCAATCTGCAAAATATATTTAAAAACATACAGGCGCTTCCAGCATTAAGTATTGAGTGCTCTGAAAGCAGGAGGTATATGTCAGAAAATTAGTACTGTAACTTAAATTTGTCTTTTTCTTGGCACTGTTTATGCAACTTGCAAAATACAAGTGCTTGTCCATTGTCAACTCATATTCAGTACCTCACCTTGTCATACACGGGAACCTCTGAAAAGTTCTGCTTACATTTAAGGCAGTCCATTTTTCCAGATGCAGTATATAAGATTAATTTTTATTCATTAATTATATTCTCTGCCAAATGAGTGTTTAATATGAAGATTTCAATAAACAATGGTTCTTCACTTTTATCATCAGACAAGCACCATTTGCTGTTGCATATGATGTCACTACTATGACATAATGGGAAGTAACAGTGAGTAAAAAATAATGAATAAACAAGACTGCAATTTGTGGCTCTTTAAAAATAATAATTCAAAATAATGCTCTTTCGAGTTGGAAAGATAGCCAGTGAGCTCTCTTCTTTCCTATCATCATGCCTGTGTGAATGTCTGTATTTAATAGGTCATTAAAATTATTTTGGTAAGGTTTTGCGGAGTGCTTAGAGCCTTAGATACATGTTGTAAATAAATAAATAAAAAGATAAGTTGAAATTTCTTATGTGCTCAAACTCAGCATATTGAACCAAACAACTTCTTTGGATCTAAGTAATAAAAGGATCACCTACACTAAAAAATTAACCATATCATGATACTGGGTTATTAGATTTTAGTGTGACGACACAATAGGAACTCAGTAGGGCCTTCTATGTTACCCTCAGTAGGGTCACATAGAAAAGATCCCAACTTGATCTTAGCCACATTCCCAAGCCATTCTACATATCTCAAACGATCTGCATTACAACAGCAACATGTGAAAACAATGATTATTTTGAAAGGCACAGTTCTAAAGTAATTATTAGGCAGACAAGGCTCTTTGGGTAAAGCTGATATCTTTTATTGGACCAACTCAAATAGTTGGAAAAAAATCTTCTTTGCAAGCTTTTGGGTACAATTACCCTTAATGGTACTGAAAGCTTGCAAAGAATTTTTTTTCCAACTATCTGAGTTGATCTAATAAAAGATATCAGATTTACCCAAATAACTTTGTCTGCCTATGTACTTAGACCAACACAGATACAACCTACAGCCCTGAAAGCAATTATTAGTAATCCTCAAATGAGAAATGGAAGTGTTTTCAACATCTGTATGGGCAAATGAATAAGAAAAGCCATTAATGACTGCCAACCTGTACAAATATACTTAAAAGCTAGCAGACTATCGAATCTGGTCCCTCATGTCAATACAATCCTCATTATCACTAGTATCTAATGTTGACTTTTTAAAGCACAAATCAGTAGCTTCTAATTTAAATAACGAGGTAGTACTGAAAGAATTCCTAAACAATGAATTCCTAGACTTTTAAAGTTTTGAACAATGTTTAATAAAATGTACCCATTAATCATCATATGGGTTAGGGACAGAAATTACACATAAACTGGCATAAATGATCAGAAGGCAGTTCAAATCTGTATCACAACAGAAGTTCAGTGCATATAAACTGCTTTCAAAATGGCTGAAATCAGTTTAAGATAAACCTGGATGAATGTAGCATCAGACTTAACTGATTTAGGTTAAATCGGTTTATTGAATTTCTGTCCCAGATCCCCTCCAGATTCAAGTTAACTCACAGTCCCCCAGCATCCCAGGATGCCTTGCCCCAAGCTGTCTGCTCCTGCCGAGCCAGGTGGCATGCTCTAGCACCCCCCAGCTTCTAGCCTGGGCCACTGCAGGCCTATGGCTGCATTTCTGGAATCAAAAGTGGACGTCTGTTCACTTGCTTATCTGTGCATCTCAGACTAACCTGCAAAGATATAAACAATTCAACCTTGGGCTTTCTGACTGTCTGTACTTAGCTATGTAATCTTTTCACATAGGATGAAAACTTAAACCTTGAAACAGGGAATCCAAAGGAGAAAGACACTACTTCCTTCTGGATTCCTAGCATCAGATTCACTAAATATACCTTACAGATTCAGGTAAGGTAAGGTAAAGTTATGCTTCCTAGCTTCTGAGTTTCTCACTCAAAAAAAATTTTTTTAAGTCACACGTTGTTTATTCGTTGGTATACTGGTCACTTATAACAAAGTCATGTTTCATGTCAAATACAATACTGCTCTAGTTCTCTTATATGTGGATAAAGATTTCATAGACATCTCCCTGAATTTCAGATTCTGCCAAGATTCAAATCTATGATATGGATTGGGAATCGACTGCTGACAAAAGTCATAACGAACTACAGGGCCATGTGTATTCCAGCCCATATCAGCAATAATAAAAGTTATTTACCAGTTGAGCAGCCTGTAAGAACTGAAGTTGTCATTTAAACTCCCAGTCGTAGTTAACGGATGTCTATCCTACTTTCAACATAATATGGTACTCACAGGAAAGATGCCTGAGACTGCACAGGGATAACATTCAATTTAAAACTTAAAATAAACCCTTTCACACCCTAAAAGGGATTCTCAGAGTCTTAGAATTAAACAGCCTCAGAGGGACAGTTTCATTCTCTATAAATACCTTTTCTGTGAAGAGAAATCTAAAGTGTTCTATGCTGTCAGTCCCATACCTTTTTGTAAGTACCATATGTGCTTGAAATACTTCAAAATAAATTATCTGACATTTGGCTGAAGATCAAAACTCAGATACAAAACATAAAAACTTGAGTCAAATACAGTTTTTGCTTTTTCTATTCACTCCTTCAGAGCATTAACTTATTGTATTTTAAAATTAAGATGTGTATGTTATAAAAAGATTAACAGAATAGTTAAAATCATTTATTTACCTTTAAGAAGACTGTTGGAAGGGTAAACATACTACTAACCTCTATATCTGTCTGAAAGTTAAAAAGGTCTATTCTTTGCCAGTTACTTCCATCTAGAGCCAAGACATTCCATGCCTAAAAAACATATATATGTTTAATAAACCTTCTCAATCTAGATACATAACCTTTCCCCCTACCCCATCAACTTTATCAGTGGGCTGAACTCTCAGTATTTTTATGAAATTAAAATGACTAGTAATTAGAAGTAGGTAGTTAAAGCAAATTTTGTGGGATAATCTTTTGAACCCTAGGATTATATGTGTTCAGATTTTAAGGATCAAATTCTGGCTTAGATGTGTACACATATGCTGATTTACATTCGAGTCATAAATATACTGTATTATACAAGAATATGAGCCTCAATTTTAGTAAATTCACATTATTTTGGTTAGAGCTGAGTACTTTAACACGTGGCAGCTGCTAGGGAAAGAACAAAAAAAGCATGATGGGGGAGCATCAATATTATTTTCAGCAGCACTCTACTTTTAGCTGAGGGAATAACAGAACCTGGTGCTAATTTGTGAAATCTAATGAAATAACAGGCTGGGGTTTGCAAAGATGAGGAGTAAAATGGTTACAGTTAACATTTCATCTTTCTCTGAAAAAAGATGTAAAATTAAAAATTCTGCCTTTGCAAACAACACAAAAGGGAAGTTCAGTAATATAATTCAGCATATGAATACTGTTGTTTATATTTGTACATTTTTCATGTTAAAATAAAACATTTTTCAATCAGGCAAAATTAAGATTAGTTCAACATAAATATGTATTGACATGCTTTTTCTATTATCCTCTTTTGTGTGCCCTTTACTCTACTACTAGTAGATCTCAACACCTTCATTATGTGGCACACAAATGATGCATACACTCCTCAAATACATGTTGCACATTAACAAAAGCTACAAGGAATTTTAAGCAAAAAAAATAAATCTGAAAAACGGTGTAATACACCCACAAGCTTTAAAAACAAGTGCCATTATGCCAAAAAAGGCTTAATCCTTTCTGCAGAAACACAGCATGTAGTGTGACATTTCCTGTCCCGTCCCCTTTCCCCCTCCTCCCCCCATTTTAGATACTTTAGTGATTTTCACATATCTGAAGGCAGGATTGGGCCCGTAGTTTCTGATCCATTGTTCATTAAAGTCAATAGAAATATTCCTTTAATGATCTCTAAGGCCCTCATCCGCAGCCTACTTTTTACCGATAAATTAAATAGTTCTTTTCAATGCACAAATGTCTAAACTAAAGTGAATACTGTACCTTGGAAACTTGTGCACATCGGCATAAAGTAACTATATCCAAGAAGGAAAATATTCTAGGAAGAAAAGAAAAAGTATTGCATTATGTTGATGTTTTATTGCTAATCCAGTCCAATATATAGGTTCACTGTTTTATAATCATATGAAAATAATTCAAAGTACATAAGACATTAAATTTAACTTAACTATACTAGAAATGTGTTGTGTAGCCTGATAATATAACTACATATTGACTAAACAGACCCATTTCTGTGGTTGGATCCCTAGTTGTCATAGCTCCAGTATAGCAAAACCAGTGTAGTTCTGCTAGCCTGGATGGATGCAGAGGGCTGAATTTTGGCTTTTTTGTACAGTGTTAGAAAAATGAATACAAGCAAGTACCACCAGTAGTCAATTTCAAAATGATTTTCAGCATGAGAAAGTAGTTCATATATATTTAATGATGTAATAATCTGTTAATAAGTACCACCAAAAATACAGACAAAAAACCAGAATTCTGAGTTTAGAGAACAATAATTAGGATACTTATACTCCTTATGATTAGCCACAACTCAAGAATCTAAACACTACTATAAGAAAAACAGTCTAGATTTCTAACTGATTACAGACATTGCTTTTAAATACTATACAACTTATTTTTTTTAACTCTACAGGAAATAAAGTGACACAGACATTCAGTATTTGGCATTACTGATCTAATCATGATACCATTTCTCTAAGCCTGCCTACCAAAACTACTGAATTCTGCACACATTTTCCAAATATCAGTGAAGCTGCCTTGAGGCAGAGGTGTGTTCTCAGGGAAGGAAAGGATATTAGTTTAAGCTTAAAATGCAGATTCCAATCCAGAAGTATTTTTAGTATATATTTTATGCTCTACTTTATACCATACTTACTAGTGCCTCTCGGCATAATGGAGAGATGTCATTGTAAATCAGTGATAAATTAGCTGCTCACCAAAAAAAATCAACATTTGTGGATAATCAGCAACATAACTATCTTAAAACATACCTTTATGCTAAAATGATATTGAGGAGCAAATAAAGCTGATGAAGGGATGTTAATTTTTCAAATCTAAATTTTTGAGCACTACTCTCTAGGCATCTTAGTGTGCATCTACATGAGATGCTAACTGCACAGTAATGCACAGGGCAAAAACTGTGCTAATACACTACTGCACAGTAGTATTAGGCGCAGGTAGCATCACTAAAGCCATGCACCAGCACTACTGCACAGTAGCACCAGTAACTGTACATTGATTTAGTGTGACATCACTACAGCACATTAATGAACGTGCAGATGCACCCTTAGAAGCCTAACTATAGGTGTCTAAATCCATATTTAGGCATCGAAATAAGAGACCAGATTTTCATTTATGCTGAGCACCAATAGTAAGCATGGAAGTGAACAAGAGCTACAAGTGCTAACTCCTCTGAAAATCACGCCTCTTAAATTGCCAACTTCAGACAACCCAATCTCAAATTGCTCATCTTTCCTGATATTCTATTACCACATATAAGCATTTTGGCTTAAATCCTATTTCCTTTTATGTGCTTATATGGCAGTTACTAGCACTTATGTACAGTTTGCAATTCAGCTCTGCACTCGCCTGTCCATGCCCACTAAGCAAGCCACAGTAGGACTGCACCACAAAATAGGATCGCCAGCTAACTTCCAAAGTTTTAGGCTCAGCAACAGTGCAATCTGGAGCAGGGCACCCTCTTACCCTAGTGGTTAGGGCAGGAGCTGAACATCTATGTTCTAGGCCTCCTTTATCCAGTGGGGATTTGAACCTGCATTTCTTGCATCATAGAAAATTTTTCTAAGCAGCAGGCCATAGTCCAAGCTTTATACAGACCCCTCTACAGCCCTCTTTTTGAAGTTGGCCCTGGACAAGGGAGACATATAGGACCAAGAGAAAGAAACTACGCCAGTATATGGCTCAGTGTGCCATGGCTGAGTATATGACTCAGTGTAACACATACTGCCTAGAAGGGCCCTGCTCCCAGTGGGACAGGAACTTTTCCATTGCTCTAATGAACACTAAATATAAGAAGCAGTGGATCCAGCTTCAAGAGAACAGGTGTAGAGAGGACAGGCTTAGCCCATAACCTAATGGTTGGAGCAGTCTGTTAGAAAATTCACATTTATTTTGGGGTAATAGGTGCCTAGAATTCAGGTGTCCTACTCTGTAGGTAAATACCCTACCTGCGGGGCTAAGAGGCTAAAACACAGAAGCACTCCTCCTTTTCCTCCATCATACTTCTGAAAGTATGTGTGCAGGGCAATTCTATTCCACCAGAGCAAACAGAATTCCAAACTGCATGTTAAGTGCCAAAAACTGCAATTATGCAGCTGCATATATGTTATCTAGGCACACAAAAACACACAATTTCAAATTAAATCCACTGACCATGTAACCTCCACAGAAGAATGCGTGTCTTTATGACACACACCACATGTTATAATGTAAGCATTTTTACATTTATTTCATTATTTTAACATCTACTCAAAAAGTTTTTTCGATAAGAAAATAAAACTTTCTAATATAATTAAGTACATTCAGGTCTTCAAATAAACATCATATTAAAACCAGACATTCTTTTAATAGGAATACTGACTGAGAATCCAAATGAACCTCTTTCCAGTCCTATCAATTTTCCCCCCAAATGACCAAAAAAGTGAGCCTTGCAATACGACAGGAAAGAATTCCTCAGTTTTGTATCTCCTGTACTAACACCATTTGAATCAAATTGGAAGGTTCTGTCAGATTTACAGATGGTGATATACAAAGCAGTTATCCAAATTATTTCAGTAAATTTGACTTCACAGCTTTTCAAGAACGAAAGGCTGTGACATACCATTTGAGGACAGATCAGTCCTAAATAGAGCGGAAGACCAGTATTTGGAAGTTCACATTCATAATATACTTTGCTGTAAAAAACAGAGAGAGAGAAAAGAAATGATACAGAGATCTAGGAAGATGAGAAAAGAGTATCTGTACCCCATTACTTGGCATTTTTTTAGCTATTGGTTCTAATGTTCTACTGTTTGTGTCAGAATATATGACCTTATTCTTTTGCACATAACATATCCAATCCTGGGTAAGCTTTTTGAGAGAATTATTCTGGCAC